TAGATCATGCCTCTGATCATGCAGTGACTACTTGAGGATTACTTGTCACCTGCCGAATTAAAGAATCAAATGCTTAACACACAACATAATTTTCCAAATCCATAACTTAACAATCCCCTTCATATATGCACCAAGCTTCTTGCACTATTCCAAGATCATGGCTCAGTGCCTTTGTGCATGCTGGTTCCTCCATCATAAATCTCTTTCTTCAGCATCATCATGCCTAAATGCTTCAACAGAGCTTGGTGCACTGCCCATTTGAAGATGACTTTCTAATCTTGAAGCTTCTACTACATCACAGAATAAACATGGCAAGGGCAACACTTCCCAAAAGGAAGGTAACAAGACAAATAACAGCTTCAGGAGTGTGGGGAGCAACTCGGACTAGACTAAGTTACTGGAATTAAGACTTATTCTATGCATCTGCTCTCTTACAATATGGCGCTGAGAAAGGACCAAACAACTTCTACGCAGCTGCCTCTCGCCAACTTGACTGATGAGCTGCAGGAGCTGATCCTGCTCCTGATTGGAGGAGAGCAGCGTGCTCGGCGTGTGGGTAGCAGAGTTGGGATTGGTGGAAGAGGACTATAAAGGAGGAGAGAGACAACATGCACCAGGAACATCTGGATAACATCTGAGCAGCCCCCGAGAGAGCCGGCCGGCGGTGTGCCACTCCTCCATGGAAGTGGGGAAAGTGGCAGGGGGAGCCACCCCTCCACGGAGGTGGAGGGGTCGGCATCCAACCCGGGAAGGGCCGAGCAGACAAAAGAACAGCGCAGGGTCCTGTGTCGTTCCTCTGCGAAGAGGGGGAGTGACAAGGAGGAATTCTGGGAATAAAGAGCTCCATAGACAAATTTGGGTAATACTCCACATCATGACCCTTCTTAGAGATTCATATTGTGTATTCATATATTGAAGCTATCAAAATTCCTTTGGCAGTAAAATACACCTAACTTATTTATTTATTTTATTTATTTATTTTAAAGGCAGAGTTAGAGAGAAAAAGTAAAATAAGAGACAAAGAAAGAGATCTTCCACCTGTGGGTTCACTCTCCAAATGGCCTCAATGGCTGGAGCTGTGCAGGTCTGAAGCCAGGACCCTGGAGCTTCTAATGGGTTTCCCACATGGGTGGTAGTAATCCAAGTACTTGGGCCATCTTTTGCTGAATTCCCAGGCACATTAGCATGGAGCTGGATCAGAGGCGGAGCAGCCAGGGCTTAAACTGGCACCCATATGGAATGCCAGCCCCTTCACAACTCTTTTTAACACAGCTTTCTCAAGTGCATTTGACTTCGGAACCCTTATATCTATCACTAAATGCCTATTCTAAGGAGCTAGCATCTCAAGGTACTCACATAGAGAATTCTTGAACACAAAACCAGGGTCCTGGATTCTAGTCCTGATAAAGCACCTGTCAGTGCCATTTTTCCTTATATATAAGCCCAGATAAAGTAACTGCATCATAACACAGGTGACACATTGTTCCCAGTCCAAAAGTAGGAAAAATTGTATGTCTCAAAATAGGTAGGGTAATCATGCATTACATGTAGGTGACAATTTTTCCCAAGTCCAGATAGCATAATCACAAATCCAAACAGGGTTACATTTTATTCCAGCACAATTAATTGTGCACCTTGCACTCTCAAAAGTATTCTGGTTTAGGTGATAAATTGTAATATCACTTAGTTATAAGACTCCACCTAGGAGTCTTATACTTTGAAGTAAGCCAAGCCATTCTACAATAGAGTAGAACCAAGAATTAACAATTTCACCATGACCTAGAATTTTGTTTTTTTCTGTGCACTTGGCAACTAAGTGCCCACTTAGCCATGGTATGCACTCCTATCATATCGATTCATCTAATACAATGACTTGTGCCTGAGTTTCTTATTTCATTCTGTAGATGAAAACTGTTCAACTCAGGTGATTTCACTATAAATCCCTACCATTGTTTCACAACAACTCTTGGTTACTTGATAGGGTCATGCTCTCAGTAGACAGTTTAAAACTACAATATTATCACCAACACTTGCCCGCAACACTTTTCAAATATGGAATCGATTTCCCCTTCACTCCCTCAGGACTCAGTTTCCTACTCACTTGTTCTAGCCTAGTAGGTTTTCACAGATATGTCTCCCTGGCTCCTTAAGAGGGGCTTACTTCCCCAACAATAACTATTCGCCACATAGTTCTTTATGCCAAATAACTAGTTGTGTGACTTTATCAAGTCACCTCTTTTTATGATTCTTAGTTATCTTTGAAATGAGACGGCTGACCTGGATTATGTCCAATTCTCTGTCCAACTGTGGTGAGTTGACTTTACATACCCTTCTTTGAAGCCTACCTACTTCCTTATATGCCCTTATCTCTTTATTATCCCTAAATGATGAGATCTGTTTCCATATTTTATCTCCTTCAGCGTGTGGCAGAGGACCATATATACTTATGACATAAATGTACATGTGACATAAATATTTTAAATTTACAAAGCATTTCAGCTCCAAAAAATCATAATTAAACCCCAAAATAGTGACAGATTAAATGTAATCTAAGAAATGAAGTGATGTAGTCAAAGTAGCAAACACTACAAGGAAATAATTCTATACTATTTTCTAGCATTGCTATAGTGAACCACCACTGCCAATAATAGCTAATAATGGGCCGGTGCCGCAGCTTACTTGGCTAATCCTCCACCTGTGGCGCCGGCACTCTGGGTTCTAGTCCCGGTTGGGGTGCCGGATTCTGTCCCGCTTGTTCCTCTTCCAGTCCAGCTCTCTGCTGTGGCCCGGGAGGGCAGTGGAGGATGGCCTAAGTGCTTGGCCCTGCACCTGCATGCGAGACCAGGAGGAAGCACCTGGCTCCTGGCTTCAGATCGGTGCAATGTGCTGGCCGTAGCAGCCATTTGGGGGGTGAACCAACAGAAGGAATACCTTTCTCTCGGCCTCTCTCTCTAACTTAGCCTGTCAAAAAAATAAAAGAAAAGAAAAGGAAAAAATAGCTAATGATGGGCATTTACTACATGTGAGATATGGTTCTCAGTGGCTCACATGTTGTATGGCTTATGATTACTCTATTAGGTGGATACCATTATTATCCCCACTTCACAGATATGAAAACCGGGCATAGATGAGTTAAGTAATTGTCTGACATCTCCCAGGAGCAAGCTGAGCAGTCCAGCTCCAAAGCCCACAGAAACGTCCACTGTGGCAGCCTGGCCCGCCCTCCCTTTCACCAGCATTTGCTCCCATGAATATCCTAACACCAGGCTTGTATCCACCCAAACGGAAACTAAGGCCCAAAGAGGCTTGAGGATTGCTCACTCTCACACCTGACTATGATCACTGACATCCACCTGCTGAGAAAGCAGCACGGTGTGAATTGGAGGATGTGATTAGGAGACAGTGGTCCTAGAAATGAGGAATTAAAATTGGCAGTGAAATGTTATACTACTATAGTTTTAACGATCTATGATTATTTGAAACTTTACTGTATATTGGCGAAATGGTCATCCTTCCATTTGATTACTGTGTATAGCCCTTGCTTATATTACCACTGAACTAGGGTCTTTTTACTTTTTACTTGTTGATTTCTTTATTTAGGGGGGCATTAAGCCCCTGACCGTAATGTTTACTAAAAGTATATTATCTCAAACACTAAAAAAGAAAGAAAGGAAGAGAAAAGGAGGAAGGGTGGGAGAGAGGAAGAGAATATCATTACATTCTTAGAATTGTATCTAGGAACTAAATTGAATCTGTGTTAACAGTACCTTACATGATAATAAAAAGTATTGAAAAAAATTTTGGAAAAATAAAAATAAATAATGAACTTGGCAGTGAATTGAAAGGAAAAGATGTTTTTGATTAGTGGTGTGGGCCCTGGAAGGGGGCACAATGATGCATGAAACGACAGCCCTGGGCACTCACCTGAAAGGGAAGGTGGGAGGGAGAGAGAAGCCCAGGAGTGATGGGACAGAGAGCAAGGCCCCAGGGCAGTGGGAAGGTGAGAAGGGAAGAGGAACAATGTTATTTGCGATTACATACAAGTTCAGCACCAGCACTACATTGATAGAAGAAATATGCAATACAAACCAGAAAGTACAGTTTTGGATTCGAAGTATGGCTTGACTGAAGCAGCATTCACGAAAGAATCCAGACTTGTGTATGGCACATAATAGGCACTTAATAAATGTTTGTTCCAAATAAGAGAGACCAAAAGAGGAAAATCTGAGAGTTCCTTTCATAAAAAGAAAGGGACCTAAGGGAGTAGGTGCTCAATAAATATTATTTTTATCTGTGTGCAGTGAGAAGCCTGGGGGGTTATAAGCGATTATCTGATACATTTCCAAAGAGCTCTTAGCCTCCGATTTCAATTCTCACAAATTCCCTGGGGAGGCTGTAGACACTCTCTCACTGGGGAGTTAAGAACACACTCTTACAAGAGCCATGGGGAGGGCGGGGGTTGGATGATTTCAAAATGGATAAAGGGAGGTACAGGCTAAACCCAGTGACACTGCAACCCTTTCAGTTCTGAGTTCCAAGCAATTCCCACAGAAAGGCAAGTTCCCTCTGTTGCCCACAGAACAGAGATCATCTAGATTGACCGGCACACACTGCCGTCCCAAGCTGAGGATGGCAGAGCGATCTGGAAGCCTTCCAGAAGTGCCTCGTTCAACTGTAAGCCACTAATTCGTGAGGAAATAAAGCACAGAGAGCCCATTTCAAACATACATGCGGAAATCAGGACAAAACACTGAGATTATCTGCTCGGAATTCGCTTTAAGAGAGCCCAGGCAGCGCTCATTTATTTTTGAGAAAATATATGATTAACCATAGTTAAGTATGAATTCAGATGTTGTACATTAGACCAGCTTCTCGAAGTTTGAGAGCATTTAATATTATATATCGCTGCCATTTGGACTAAATTGTTTTTTTAATGTACACAATATTACAAATTTAATTTGAGCTGTTTGAATCAGTCTGTAAAAAAGATTTGATTATACCTGAGTGTTCTGGCCCCAGCTTTTCCGTATCTCAGTAATCTTGGCGGTAATTGGCTGATTAGGCGTCTCACACTCCATCTTTGCCTCAGTTTCCATGGTAATGTTACAGGAGCTATTATAGATGAGAACTTCATCTCTTTCCACTTTAGGGCTGAAACGAGAGGGGAGGTTAAATGGGGTGTCATCAATCTTAATGAAATGCAATTATTTTTACTCTTATTAATCATTGCAAGCCATTAGCTTGTGGCAACTACAGGCCACCATTTGTCAAATTTTGCAAATTTCTGTAATTCTGTTTCCATTCTTTTATTGTTTATTTGTTTTCCCTTTATCTGCACACTCTGCAATGAAAATGCACATGGTAAATATCTTTCACTGAGGCCTTTCTCTCTTCCAAATCTATTAGCAACATTAGCAAAAGCGTTTCCAAGTCCAACTTAACAAACAGTATGCAGGCAACAATTCAAGTTCTAAAAATGGAAGCAAATGTTGGGGAGACTTTTTGTTTTTGTTCTCCTTTCCCCTTCCCTCTTCTTGCTCTTACTCACACTTAGTGTTGGGGGAGTGAATTGCCTGAATTCCCCCTAGGGCAGAGGGAGAAATTGGAAAACCCACACAACTGGCTAACTGGTCCCTAATTCCAACTGTGAAAAAATGAGCTCATTTAGGCTTGCAATTCCCTCTCCCCAGCTGATGGCAATGAGGCTCTGTTGCTAGCAGTGGAACATTAACTTAGTAAATTAATTAAACTTACTTAACAGCCCAGACTAAGGAGATTCGATATATGTGCCAGTTATACTACCAGCCACTCACTTTAAAAAGTCCTCTTGCTTAAAGGGGAGAAGTCAGACTGGATGTAAAAGGCAGCAAGTTAGCATCACAGAAAGTCTTACAAGGTGTGGTCTAGAAGAAGTGAGAGCATGGACATTGAAGGGATTCGTCCCCAACAGGTGTGATACTTATTCAAGAATAATCTTGGCTTTAGGCATTGTTGCCACTAATGCAAAGGCCATTAGGGATAATAATGCATGTTTTATGCTTTTCAACACTTTCATATGTATGACCTCATTTCAGTTTGTAAATTAGGTAGTGGTATAAAAAAATATGACCAAAACATCAGGAGATTGCATAAAGTCAAACCCAAGAGTGTGACAGCTCCAACATCAAAACCTAGGTGCCTGTTTCCTAGAACAGTGCTCCTGGATTTTGAGATGCTGATAGAACACAGGCCAAAAACATGGCAGATCCCCTGAGAACACCAGGAAGTGTGGAGGAAAGGGCAAAAGGTTACCTCTTGAGAAACTGTGAATCACAACGAACTGTAGCATCTTTTATCAAACCAATGTCAAAATGGTTTCTCCCACAATTTGCTAGAAATAATAAGCAGGATAACTCACATTTCACCACTTAATCTTCTCTTTTCCAAGCTAACTCATTCTCTGCTCTACATTAACCTAAGAGGTGACTGCCACACCCTTTGTCTTTGACCTAACTGAGAGGGTCAATTTTTTAACATTTCAACACCAGAACTGAATACAAGAGTTTGAGCTGACCACTGGGGCTCTGGTCTCCTTTTACATAAGCCTTTTCCTCCAATGACACTATTGTATTCATTGTAGTCTCCACACTTACATGAAGATGTGTAATAAATTCCAATTCTCAGAGCTGTCATTGCCCAATGATTTCTACAAGCCACACTTGCCCAGTTAATTTTCCAAGAAGTATTAGCATGATAAGGTTAGACTTGAAGAAAGATCAGCTAGATTTGGGTCCCAGCACAGGCATTCCCCATCTATATGACATTGAAGGCATCAATCTGTAACCTTTGCCTTTCCATGCTTACAAAACTGAATCACTACTAATCCAGTATCTATTTTGTAGAGGTGTTGATAAAATTGAGCAAAATGAAGCTTATAAAATGATTAGCACAGAACCTAGAACAGAGTGACTATGTGATAAAGGCAGTTCTTATTATAGTTTTTAGCGGTTGTTCTGTTAATAGCATTATTGTGGAAATGTAAATATAGGAATTTACATTCATTATTGTTGTATTTCATCTCACTGATTTGGACCCATTGCTCAAATATATTTTAAATCTGAAGCCTATAATCTAGCTATAAATCCATCTAGCTGAGCCATTTCCATGGGTTAGACAAAGCCATAGGATAAATACAGCATTTGCTCCTAGAGTGTCTCATACTCCAAGACTCAGAAAGGAAAAGCAAAGTAATTTAACTTTTAAATTAAAATGTAATGTAATATTTAAATAAATATGGAAATATGGTAGGATAGAATGCAAAATTCACATGGGCTTTTGAAACACCTGACTTCAAAGAAATTTAAGGTTTCTTTCAGGCCATTTTGGGCTTTCTATCCAGAACACTTCTTTAAACTTTTTTGCCACTTGGGTTGGAAAGGTTACTGGGATAGTTTAAGAAGGTCTGTATGGTCACAGCAGGTCTTTTCTCCCCAAAACTCTTGTAGTACTTAAACTGTTCAAACTTTAATGTTTTAATATTGATGGTTGGTGGATTAAGGGAAGATGTTTGGTCTAATTGTGTGAGTTAGGAGGTGGAGATAGTGGGAGGTGCTTGGGCCACTGGGAGCATGCCCTTGGAGTAAAGTACTCACAAGAGAGTTATTATTTGAGTTCAAGTTTGGCCTAGGTTCTGTCTCTCCTTCCTTCATCACTATGTGACTGTGCCTCTGCACCTGCCATGACCAGCATCCGCAGTCACCCGTCTCTAGGGCCATTGGATCCTGAACTGTAAGCTCTAAACTGTAAGCTGAAGTAAACTTTTTCTTTCTCAAAAAGCTCCTCTCTGTCATTCTCTGTCATTTTAGTTAAAGTAACTAAAAGCAGATGAATGCAGTCACCTCCTATATTTGCAGTAAAGCTTTCTACACCATTACATCATTTGTGATTTCATTCCAAAAGATAAGTTGACTTCAGTTCTAAGGCTAACAAAGCATCTGATTAATAATCATCCTAGAATTCTGTCAGGGATAGTATCCAGGTTAGTTGTCTAAATTTACATTATTCCCTCTTTTGAATTCAGAGAATATCTGTCCATCACGTCTGCTTGTTGTGTGTCCCTCCTCATGATTCATTTTCAGCACTGGATCATGAATGATGATCAATCACCTAAGCAAGCTTTCTATGCCTTGTATATGAATGATCTAGCTATACAGACATGAACCAAAGGAAAGTAGTGACCAATTTCTTTAAAACCTTTCAGCCTGGGCTTCCACCCTCCCAAAGAGCCTTCTTCTACCCTTTTCTAGGCTTATTGTTGTCAAAAGTACAAGTAGAATAGGCTGAATCACTCTGTCGTCCTTTTTTGTTTGCCTGTTAGCATTATACCATCTTCCTTAATCACATTCTTCTTCCTCTTAAAAGAGTTAAATTCATTTGTTCTAATATTTACTTTTTTGTAATAAGCCTTAGCTCATATTCCTTTTTGTATTTTTCCCTGATAATCTTGCTACAGATTTTTTCATGGAAAAGTGCTCAACAAAATTAGCTGAAACACTAAGATATCAAAAATACATTGACATTTACAAAATTTCAAAATTTTTAAGAGCATGGTGGGGGCAAGAGGCGCGGAATCACCACACAGACCCCGGGAGTCAGGTGAAAGCAGGCCTGAGGCAAGCAGCCTGCAGACTCACTTATTTCAGTTGCTATAGCTGCTTATATATGCCAAGGCAGCCAATCCGGTCAAGGAGCAGTCTATGCCCTAAACAATCAAACTCTGTTGCCAGGCAGTTTCCGAAGCCATCCAATCACAGCCTGTTGTCAGTCAGGCTCTGTTGTCATGTGGTTTCCAAAGCCATCCAATCACAGCCTGTTGTCAGTCAAGCTCTGTTGTCATGTGGTTTCAGAAGCCATCCAATCACAGCCTGTTGCCAGAAAGTTTCTGTTGTCAGTGGCCATCTTGGCATGACCTTCTCATTCCAGCACAATTATTCCATGCTTTCTTCCATAATAATTCTGTGAATTAATAAGTGTAGTTGAGAGGCTAGCTTTGTACTATAGTGGGTTGGGCCTCCACCTGTAGTGCCAGCTTCCCAGCTGGGTGCTGATTCAAGTCCCAGCTGCTCCATTTCCAATCAAGCCCCTTGATGATGTCCTAGGAAGGCAATGGAGGATGGCCCAAGTGCTTGGGCCCCTGCAACTGCATGGGAGACCTGGAGGATGCTCCTGGCTTCGGATCAGTCCAGCTCCAGCTGTTGTGGCCATTTGGAAGACCTTTCTTTCGCTCTTTCTCTATGTCTGTAGCTTTGCCTCTCAAATAAATAATCTTTTTTAAAAAAAAAAAGTGCAGTTGACCATACATATGTGTGCATATATAGAAACTGTATATGTACAGGCCAGCACCGCAGCTCAATAGGCTAATCCTCCGCCTGCAGCACTGGCACACCGGGTTCTAGTCCTGGTCGGGGCGCCGGATTCTGTCCCGGTTGCCCCTCTTCCAGGCCAGCTCTCTGCTATGGCCCGGGAGTATAGCAGAGGATGGCCCAAGTTCTTGGGCCCTGCACCCACATGGGAGACCAGGAGAGGCATCTGGCTCCTGGCTTCGGATCAGCGCGATGTGCCGACCGCGGCGGCCATTAGAGGGTGAACCAATGGCAAAAGGAAGACCTTTCTCTGTCTCTCTCTCTCACTGTCCACTCTGCCTGTCAAAAAAAAAAAAAAAAAACTATATGTACAGAAAAAGGCAGATGGATATAGATACAGATATAGATGCACATGCATACAAATATATATGCATACACATAATTACTTGGGGGATATTTAATAAAAATTATTAGTCTAAATGCTGGCAAAGGTAGTTTTAGAACCTAACATTCCTAACCCTTAATCTATTGTTCATTCAACTAATCAGATAGTAAAGTTAGCAAGTAATATTCTTGCATGTGCTCCTTAGGCTAAGTAATAAAACCCTAACAGGAATTCTATACCCCTCACTTAACTTGAAATTGCTTCCTATGGCTCCAAGAGCTCACTAGATCCACACAGTTCAGCTAAGGCTTTCACCACAGGTGTCTACAGCGTGGCATCTTGCCAAGTACACCATGAGTCAGAAGCCTTGGGTTCCACCCCAACACTGTGTTCCCTTCCTTCTCATCCGATTCCTGACCTACTGG